CGCCGTTGTCGCCGCCGTCGTCGTCGTCGTCGTCGTTGTCGTCGACGTCGACGTCGTCCTCGTCGACGTCGTCGTCCTCGTCCTCGTCCTCGTCCTCGTTATCGTCGTCATTTTCGTCGTCGTCCTTCGTCGTCGTCGTCTTTTTCGTCTTCGTCATCGTCGTGGCCGGCGGCGGCGGTGGCGGCGGCGGCGGCTTTCTGTGCCGCGCCGGCGGCGGCGTCGTCGTGCCCCTCGCAAAGCCTCCCAGGTGGACGTGCCCATCCGGGCGGACGGGAGGTGCCCCAGCCCCGAGCACCCAGACCGGCTCCAGTGGCAGCGGTGCAACACCCAGGACCCGCCGGCAGGGGGGAGCAGGGGGAGGGCCGAGGAGGATCGAGGAGGGGGTTTTGGGCCTCCAGAGACTTCGGCGACACCTGGGGACCGGGAGGCCCCCATGGACTTCTGGGGGCCTCGAGAGACCCCGAGAGGGATCGAGAGCAGGAGGGAGAGAGGAGAAAGGGATGCCTCTGATGCCTCTGATGATGATCCTTATGATGGTGATGGTGGTGATGATGATGATGGTGATGATGACGATGATTATGATGATGATGATGATGATGATGATGATGATGATGATGATGATGATGACGCTGCCGCTGACGCCGTTGCTGACGTTGATTATGGTGACGCTGCTGCTGTTGCTGATGTTGATGATGATGGCGATGATGTTGAGGATGGTGAAGATGCTGCTGCTGATCATGATGATGAGGATGAGGATGAGGATGAAAATAATGATGATGATGACGATGATGATGATGATGATGATAATGATGATGACGACGATGACGATGATGCTGATTTTGATGACGATGATGATGATAACGACGACGATGATGATGATGATGATGGATGGTGATGATGATGATGCTGATTCTGATGATGATGTTGCTGACGCTGATGCTGTTGCTGATGTTGATGATGCTGACGCTGCTGCTGTTGCTGATGTTGATGATGATGACGATGCTGTTGAGGATGGTGATGATGCTGCTGCTGATCATGATAATGAGGATGAGGATGAGGATGACGATGAGGATAATGATGATGATGATGATGATGATGATGATGATGATGATGATGATGATGATGATAAGGATGATGGTAATGATGATCACGACGACGATGACGATGATGCTGATGATGACGATGATGATGATGATGATGATGTTGAGAATGATGATGATGATGACGATGATGATGATGACGATGCTGATGATGCTGATGGTGATGGATGATGCTGATGATGATGATGTTGCTGCTGATGATGATGATGATGCTGATGCTGATGCTGATGATGATGTTGATGATGATGATGCTGATGATGCTGATGATGCTGATGATGATGCTGATTATGATGATGATGATGATGATGATGATGATGATGATGATGATGGTGATGGTGATGATGCTGATGATGATGATGATGATGCTGACGCTGATGCTGTTGCTGATGCTGATGATGCTGACGCTGATGCTGTTGCTGCTGCTGATGATGATGATGATGACGATGATGTTGAGGATGGTGATGATGCTGCTGCTGATCATGATGAGGATGAGGACGATGATGAGGATGAGGATAATGATGATGATGATGATGATGATGATGATGCTGATGCTGATGCTGATGCTGCTGCTGATGATGATGATGATGATGATGATGATGATGATGATGATGATGATGATGATGATGATGATGACGACGACGACGACGACGACGACGACGACGACGACGACGACGAGGAGGAGGAGGAGGAGGAGGAGGATGAGGAGGAGGAGGAGGAGGTACGCGAGCGCTGGCCCCGACCCGGGGGCCTCCCTCCACCCGGGGCCCCAGGCCCCGCTTGGCCCCCTCTCTCAGGACTGCGTCGGGGACGAGATCTGCATCGCCCGGCAGGACCCGATCCCTGCGGCGTGGCATGCAGAGAGCACTTCCTAGCCCACGCACAACGCCGTGTCTGCTCGGGGGGGCAGCTCTCGGTGGGAAAATTGGAACTCCAGCGCCCTCGTGCAACCCTCCCCCCGGGTGAATCCTGGGCAGGCGAGCCAGGAGGCGGGGCGGGGAGGGAGGGCGAGACCTGGGCAGGGGGACAACGGAGGAGGTCTGTGAGCAGCGGGGGATTTTTGGGACGGTCGCGCCAGATTATCTACCGAGAGCCACGCCAGAGCATCATTACCAATAATCTGACAGTCGAGGATGTCAAGGCATTGCGATGGGGGAAGCCCTGCCTGAGCACCTCCTGAACTGGCGGTACGCTGCTGGCCGAAGCAAGCACGCTGCCAAAACGGATTAGGCGTCTGCTGTCAAACCGCCTCGCCCAGACTGCCAGGGCCTTTTTTGTGTAGATGCAGATCCCCTGGGACTTACAAGTTGAGGAGGGGACGCCGTAGCAGGCACTGCCGCTGCTCAACATGTTGGAAGCGAAGCTGGAATCCGGCGCAACCCACTACGGTAGGTAGGTTCGTGTCGTGCTGCTCCAGCGCGGTCGTTCAAGGTTGAATGCCGCCAGTGGTTCGGTTCGGGATCGTCCAAGGTCGAGACACCAACGCTGTCGGATGAAGCCGCGATCGGTCAAGGTTGAACGATCCACCTGGTGCAAGACCCCCGACGGCGGTGATTTTCTCATGACGTGGACCTCCAGAGGTCTCGACGTCTTGACCCTTCCTGGGGACCAGTTTTCATACTGAGTCGTGTGTTGACGGTCCCGAGGCCCACTTAGGGCCCCCGGAGGCCAGAAAAAAACCTCAACATCTCGCTTCGTAACTGTTGCCACGACGCGAGGGGGGGTCTGGTGCTGTGAGCCAGCCGTCCCTGCGGCGCCCCGGAGCGCCGAGCGGTCGATCGGCCGCAGGGCCGAGTGTCCGACGGGGCCAGGGCGAAGACGAATTCGCGCCAGAGCGTTCTGCACCGCTTTCAGAGCGTCCCTAACCGCCCTGAGAACGCCGCGGCGCCCGATACATTCTCCAGCGCCGCCGGATCTCAGATCTTCTGGATTCATTCGCACCCAATGTTATTACTGTCCTGGCTCCGTCTTCGAGTGCGCGGATGTCTTCCCTGTCGGTTCCCTGGCTCGGGCCAGGCGTTTTGCGGTGACGGGATCTTCCTTCTGCTCCGTCTTTGGGGGCACCAGGGGTCTGGGCCCCCCCTCCTCTGCATCCTCGGAGGCCCAGAGGTTGGCTCCGACACCAGTATCGGTGGATTGCCTCCTCCGAGGGAAGGTGATCCCGATCTCGGCGGTGGTGGTGATGCTCGGGCTCCGTAAGTGGTCGAAGTATTCAAGGGCAGAAAAGAAAAACGCCCCTACCCTGGTTTACGGGGCGCTGTGCGCTGAAACTCCTGTGGGCTGACAGGGTAAGCCCTGCGTGATGTGCCCGCGCCCTGGCGGCTCTAGGCCCTGGGGGGTTCCCAGGAGGCTCACAGATCACGCACTTGTAATCCAGGGTAGTGCCGTTTTTTTCATCCCTCAAAATACAGTGCCGTTTTTAATACATGCTCCGCGTGCGGATCATGTAAAACAAATGTTGGGATTTAGTACTAAAACAACGATGAGTTCATGCATACATTCATTCCTAAACAGATCATATATGACAAGTCCTATAGTTTTACAAATCCCATGTCTTGAAAACTGCCCTGTATGACCACCAGCACAGCGCTCCAGGATCGCTTGGCATCGCTCGGACGTGCGCATTTTTCCTTCGGCGAGGACCATCGAGGAGTATCCTCGATCATCTGGCGAAAAAAACCCGCACGAAATCGACACATACACGAGGAATGGACCTCCGAGCGGTGGCGAGATTGCCTTCCCCCCAGGTAGGGGGCGCCTCCCCGCCGCGGTGCGGGTGCCGATAGGCGCAGGCCTCCGCGGGGGGCAGCCCCCCGCAGGGAGAGAGCGCGCGCGAGAGCCCGCGGGCCTGCCCCGGGGAGCGCGCCCCGGCCCCCGGGAGCTGCCGCGGCGGGGGTGCGGCCGCGGCCCAACGCGGGAGGGGGCCAGGAGCCTCGGGGGCGGCAAAGAGGGGGCTGATGACTAGGTGGGGGGGTGGGCCTGGAGGGTGGGCCTGGAGGCTCGGGGGCCCCGAGCGTGCGCTGAGGAGCTCGCCCGGGAGGGGGCCGCGTGCGGCCGCGGCCACGCGGGAGGGGGCCCGGGAGCCTCGGGGGCGGAAAAGAGGGGGGGATTGGGAAAGGGGGGGTTACGAAATCTGCTGCATGCAGCTGATTTCGGCCCCACCGAGGGGCCCATTCCTCGGTACATAGGCGCCTCCTGGCGCCGGGAGGCGCCGGGAGAATCAGCTATGTGAGCTGATTCTCAAACCCCCCCTTTGGAAAAGATGGGGTTGGAGGGTGGGCCTGGAGGCTCGGGGGCCCCGAGCGTGCGCTGAGGAGCTCGCCCCCTCCCCCCCCCCCCCAGCCTCTCTGGCTTCCCCCGCCTGCGCAGACGAATTGCTGTGGGTCCCCGAGGGGAGGGGGAGGGTCGGGGACGGAAAAGATGAGGTTGATGACTAGGGGGGGGTTGGTGGCTATCATGGCGGGGGCCATGAGATTTCCTGAGATCTCATGGCGCCTCTTGTTATTCCATTGCGTCCCTGGCCCCCCCGCTGGGCCGCGCACATGCCGCCGGCCATGATTTGCACCCCCCCCTTCTCTAGGATACCCCCCTCTTGGCCGCTCCCGAGAGGCCTGAAGCCCGCCCACATGTTTCAGGAGAGCACAAGAACACACAGACACAAGTCATCGTCGATGCCCCAGCAGATATGGGAAGATATGGGAAGTGGGGGGGAAGACAAGAACCCGGAACATGTGGGAAACATTGGGAACCCTTTTCATTTGTGTGCATTTATGTTTGTGTGTGTGTCCTTCGGCCCCTTCAGTGTTATCATCAGGGAGTGGGTGGAGGGTGAGAGGAGGCTGAGGAAAGATATCAGGATGGTCAGGGAGACAGAAGAGTAGCAGCAGGAGCAGGAGCAGGAGAGGGGGCAGGCGGGCCAGGGGGGGAGGCGGAGGAGGGACGAGGAGGGATCGGCAGCGACGAGTAACGAGTCGTATCTGGTAGTGTTGCCCGCACTGGGGCAAGAGTGCAGTTCGGAACGACAGGAGCAGAGCGCTGATTTTAAGTCCGACATGCGCCTCTACAGGAGGAGTATTCAAGACTAGTTAAAACCTGATTTGGTGAATTTGTTTCGTGTTCTTTCGTGCTCTTTGAATCCATGTGGCTATTTTGGATGTGTCTCCCAAAATCCGACTGTAGGATGACACGCCCGTCCTAACGTTTATCTGGCAGAGGGAGATCAGTCTCTGCAGGACCGAGAACGCTCTCGTATGATAAATCAGCTCTGGGCAGTTGGGTGTAAACAACAAAAACAAACTATGAGGGATGACACGAGAGCACAAAGGCATCATCAGGGTATAGAGATGAGAGTAGACGCATCATCATACGCACGTCTCTGGGGGAGTAGAGCTCAGAGGGAGTTCACGCGTCCCACGTGTTAAATTTGTCTGGCCGTTTCGCCAGGGACACCCTCCATATTTTTCAGAATCTGACGCACCCCCCATGCAGACTGTTAAAGACAGGTCCAGGAGCACATCGGATGTTTAAATGTCAATCATTGTGAACCCGATTCTCAGAGCATGGCCGTTCCGCCTGAGACATCCTCCCCAAGTCGAGTCGTTTTCGAGCCCGAGTCTCAAATAATTGCCGTTTCGCCTGAGCCATCCTCTCCAAATCGAGCTCTTGTCAAGCGCGGCTCTCTGAAAGTGTTGTCCTGCTATCCTAAATCCCACCCCAGGTGCCTGGAGTGCCAGCTACCAGATTGCTCCAGGTGAGAGTCTGAAGCGATTTTAGTGCTCGCGACCATAATGCTGACACCTGCCACAAATCAGGCTCTCGTGCCCACCAGGTTGAGGCAGATCGTGAAGGACACGTTCCGCTTGTGACATCCTCCCCAACTCCAGCTCTTTTGGAACGCGACTCTCAGGACAGAGGCCGCGTCTCGCTCGAGACATCCTCTCTTAATCGAGCCGATGCGGCCCAGGAGTGCGAGCCATCAGGTGGGAGCTCCCTTGCCGCGCCCCCACCCACCGCACTTTCACCTCCTCCCCCTTCTCCCTGCAGCTGCGCGGCGGCAGTGGGTCCTAGGGCCCACGAGTCCCCACCCCAGGCGTCCAGAGTGCCAGCCACGATGCCCCTTGCGATGCACTGCCGATGCTGCCCTGGAGTGCCAGCCACCATATTGCTTCAGGACAGGGGACAGGGCTTCAAGGGATTTCAATGCTCTCGACCACGTGGATCATTCGTAGAGCAGTCGTCAACAATCAGCCTGGGTTGTCCGGGTTGTCCGAGGGGTTGTCTGTTTTTAAAGTTCAGTTGGATTATTTTACCATTGTGCATAGGTATGCACCGTTGCTGGCGTGGCGTATACACCGCTGCTGGGTTCAGGATGCTCTCGACCATGATGCTTCGCAGGTGGGCCCTTCCGCGCGACACCTCCTGTCACCATTAGGGCTCTCGTGCCCACACGGGCCACTAGCCATACGGGTTGAACGTGAGGGTGCACCTGCGGATCTCTGAGTCCTAGGTCCCATGGGGTCCCCGCCCCAAGTGTTTGGCACGTCAGCAACCAGGTTCCCCTTGTTCATGCACCGCCGATATTGCCCAGGAGTAACTTACCAGCCGCCATGTCGAAGTTACCTTGGCTGCAGCACAGCCGAGGGCCAGTTTATCGCGCTGGCGTTCGCACCTCGCCCGTGAAGGGAAGCTCTCACACCGATTCCGACGTCATGATCCACGCGCCGAGTGTACAGCTATCTGGTTCTTCTCGCCGCCTTGCGCTAGTTATTTAATCGCTTCGCTCATTCCGCCGGCCCGTATTGTGCCCTCGCTGGCGTTTGGGCTTTGGGGGGCCTTTTGGGGTCCTCCATTGGGGGTTTCTTGGGGGCCTCTTGGGTTTCTGTTGGAGCCTCTTTGGGGTTTCTTGGAGCTCCTTTGGGAGCATTTGGGAGCATCTTGGGGCTTCTGGGCGCCGCTGGGGGCCGAGGGCTCGATATGTCCGTTCCGGTTCCCATTGGGCCTCCTATTTGGGCTGTCCTGGTGCCATCTTGGGCCGTGTCGGAGGCCTTTTGGGCCGTCTTGGAGGCCTCTTGGGCCGTCTTGGAACCCTCTTGGGCCGTCTTGGGGCATCGCGATGCCGAAAAGGTGGAAATACCCAAATCTCCCCCAAACCAAAGGAAAAGCAATGACTTTTGCCTCTTGGGGTCCTCTTGGGAGTGCTCTTGAAAGCCTCGTGGGGCGTCTGGGGGCTATCTTGAGCGTCTTGGAGCGATCTTGTGGCATCTCGGACCCTTGGTGTACCATCTTGGGGGCCTCTTGGGCGCTCTTGGCTCTTCTTGGGACACTCTCTTGGCCCTTCTTGGGACTCTCGGGGACGTCTCGGGGCGCTGTTGGTGCGCTCCTGGAGCGCTCTGGGGGCTTCTCCCGGGACTTTGCCCGGGTATTTTTCGTCCGGGGGCCCCCAGGGGCCGCCCCGCGCGCGAACTAGAAATACTGTGAACCAGTTACTGGAGATCTTAGCACGCCTCTGGCCCGTTGGGCCGGCGAATATCCTGCATCTGGTTTCGTGTGAGTTTTGGCACGCACGCGCCACTTGTTCATGTTGAGTGAGCGCAGAGGGGGAGGCACGCCAGGAAGTCCCCCCCCCACATATGCCTGCAAATACATGTGCTGCCTCCACGGCCTTGGACTGAGGTAGTTTCGAAATTGACCTTCGGGTCTGCACTTGGCCTTGCCACTGTGTTGGATGGCTTTGCCTCGACGCCCTCACTGCGGCACGAATCTTGGGAATATTCCGAGCCACTGCGTCGTGGTCCGCAAGAGCTGCATTGCCTTCAGTCCCTCCGCTTTGCCCGCCTGTCTGACCACCAGACTGTACGTGTCTTGAGATGTGTACCGTCTTGCTTGCGTTGCCGATTGCCCAAGAGAGTTTAGAAAGAGAAGACGGAGGAGGAGGAGGAGGAGGAGGAGGAGGAGGAGGAGGAGGAGGAGGAGGAGGAGGAGACGCGGCATTCCGAGATGCGAGACAGGACCTCATCATCGCTGTCGACGCTAGCGGCTCCCTAAAAGAGGAGGCCTGCAGCAGGGATGGGGAAATTGAGGCCATGAAGAGAGAGAGAGAGAGAGATAGAGACAGACAGAAAGAGAGAGAGAAAGAGACAGAACCGACAGAACAAGGAGGTAATCAGGTGCCGAATGTTCTCCAAAGGTCTGATCGCATAGTGCGGGTTCTTTTCAACCTCATCCTCTCATCTCCTCGTCGGCAGGCTGCTGCATGAACGCAATTATGGAAGGGCCGACCAGTCCATCCGATCTTGCAGTTGAGACATACAAGTCACTTGCACGGGGGGATTCTGAACACGCATGCAGGACTGACATCGACCGATTGCATGGGACATGCTTGCAAGCGCAGAGAGGGAGAGAAAGGATATTGAGCGAATGGGGTTATGATGGAGAGGATATGGTAGAGTGAGATGTGGCGATAATGGAGCGGGTCGGGATAGGCAGCTGGAGTCAAGAGGAGGACGGGCTAAGGCAGCAGGGCCGAGGGGAGGAGGGATGGCTGGGGCGAGTGGGAGCGGGGGGGCGAGGGAGGGTTGGAGGAGAGAGAGGGAGGGAGGGGTCGCATCAGATGGGGGGCCTTCAGATCTAGAGTCAGGGCTTTCCACAACTAAATCCCTGGATGCCCCGAGCTATGGACTCTGCCCTAATCATCCAGGAGGCCGTTCGGTTCAAGGTAGCCCTACTCGTTCCAGTGACGTGCCTGACATGTCGGCGGGTTCGTGAGCTCTGGGTTCTAGGGAAGAGGAGGCGGAGGAGGCGGAGGCTGGAGGAAGAGGAGTTGGAGAAAGAGGATGAGGACTGTGATGGGAGGAAGGATGATCGAGAGGTGCGCCCGAGCATATTCCCCTTGCAAGAGCGCCTCGGGAGGTCGGTCCGGTCGCGTCCGCTGGCCTGTCATCCTCGCGACCCGCCTTTCGCGAATACGTGTCGATCTCCTATTCTTCATGGGTGACTGCAGCTGCTGTTGGCCACGCCTTCGTCGGCGGGAAGTCGGGCCACGGGTATATGTTGGTTGGCGCTTGCTTGCAGCCTGAATTGTCTGCAGGGCTTCTCGATCGTCAGGGAGTTTGCCTACAATCTCACTGGCAGGTACAGAAGTGAATATTATGGTGTTGAGGACGGTTGTGCCCTCTGGCGCTGTTTCCACCATTCTTTTTCTTGGTGATCTCGTTTATCACTGACAACCCCTTCTTACTTCCCTTTCCCTGGGGTTATAGTGCTCATCCATGCTAATCCGCCCCGGTTCCGCACCTGTTCTGTCTAAGTGTGCTGGTATCCCACGAGCCCTCGGGGCGTAGGTGATCTAACGAGATCTTTTTTCCTTCCCCCCCCCCCTTCCCTTCGGGGAGGGATACCCTCCCCCTCCCCTCCCAGGGGCAGGGGCCTGGACGGGGGGAGGGGGTCGCGAGTCATCACAGGGCTCTTGTTCGCTCAAGATGGCTCCCAGAGGGCATCCGATGCTCCAAGATGGCCTCCAAGAGGACTCCAGATAGCGGAAGCTCGCTCAAGATGATCTCCACCATGCCTCCAAGACGCCGCAAAAGAGCCACAAGACGGTTCCAGGTGCCCTCAGAGACCCCGTGGGACTTCCCTGAGAAGCCAACATCCTTCAAACACCGAATGCAAATCAATGATGTGTGCCTTCTCGCTTTTTCGCTTCCGATGAGTGTGAGAGGTGTCAAGGTGGCCCCAGATGGCCCAAGAGAGCTTCAAGAGGGGCCCAAGATGCCCTCAAGACGGCACCAAGACTGTCCAAGAGCGCCCCAAGAAGGGGCCAATAGCGTCCCACGATGCTTTTGTGATGGCCCAGAAAGGGGGGACTAAACGTTAGTACCCCCCTCTTTTCACCGACACCCTTCACGACAGCCCCACGAGGCCCTCCAGGGCTCCCAAGAGGCCCCCTAGAGAGCCCCAAGAGAGCTCCAAGAGGGCCCCAAGAGGGCCACAAGAGCTCCCCTCGCCCCCACGCGGCCCCCACGGATTGCCCAAACAGGATTTCCAAGGCCACCCAGTTGCCCCCAGAGATTTATCTCTCTGTTCACCCTGGTTGCTTGCTTTGTTGCACTAGATATGTCTCTTCGTCCCTTTTCCCGTCAGCTCTCAAGGTCAGGGTCTCTGAATGGGCTGGTGGGGATACTTTTTTTGATTCGCGACCCGCAAGGAAAAGTCCAGAGGGCGGTGTGAACGAGGCTGGGGCACAGCGCACGGGAAGGCAGAAAGCTGGTGGGGATACGCGCAGCGTGAAGAAGTTGTTTCAGCTTCGCCTTTCTTGCCTGCATGTTTTGTGAAGTTTACGCTCTAGCGTATCTGATATACATCTTCATTTGGCCTATCATCCCCATCAAGTGAGGATCTGTCAGTTGAACCCTTTCCTGAGAAGACTCTGCCAAGGTATTCCGACTACCCTCCTTAATTCGTCCCCCATCTCTCTGTCTTTGTGTCTGTTCATGCGTCTATTGTCTCGATCTCTGTCGCCGCCTGTACATCTGTTTGCTGCGAGGTAAAGGTAGAGTAGGGCGAGGATGGGAGGTGTGCAGGATCGCATTGCTGCTACATGCATGTTGAAGTCGTCGCTTCGCCAGACGTCGTGGTCGGGACGTTCGTCCATTCAATGGGTGAGGCTGTCGGCCACATGTTTGGATCGCTCCCCGTCCACTGTTATTATAGCTGGCATTCGAGGGCGTATAACCTAAGCGCCCGCGAAGGCGCGCGTGTGGTTCTAAGTTACGATTGCAGCAACGGTTGCCCGGTTAGTATTGGGATATGGTTTTCCATCAGTGAGTCGTGACCGTTGCATTCAGTCCAGCAGGAGGCCTAGATGATACAAGACGGTTGGTTCGCAATTCCGTGTCATTGTCTTTCTTGCGATGCTACTGTGAGGGCGAGGTTGGCCCAGCAGTGAATCATCAAACGCAGCGGGTGACAAGGAGCGTGACATGGGAAGCTAGCTGAGTACAACTCCATACTCCGAAGTCTGATCGCAGGGCAAAACACGTCGTGCTCTCTTGGTGTGCCCACGTCGTCCGTCAGGACATGTACATTGGCCTGGTGCTTTTCGGCAACGGGGAGTACTACAGCAACGGCACTGTCTCCGCGGCAATCGAGGCAGCCTGGCCCTCACGCAGTTCTGGGCAGACGATGGGGAAGGACGTATGAAGGAATGAGGAGCAGGAGGAGGAGGAGGAGGAGGAGGAGGAGGAGGAGGAGGAGGAAGATTCATCTGCGGGATCCTCGGGGTGCGCGGCTGCAGCGCTCCACCCGGCGCAAGGGTGTTATACCCCGCCCCAGACCGCGCCATCGCCTCCATTTCTGGCTCGGCAGTGGGGGGCTGTTGACCAGGCGCACGAGAGCCTTGCTGGAGGGCAGCGCGTGCACTGCGCAGCGCAGTACCTCCCCAGCCCCTCCTCCTCCTCCGAGCGCCAGCTCGGCACGAGCCCCCTCTGGGCTCCCCGCCAGCCCGCGCCATCGGGGCTCTCGCTCCGTCCTCTCCCTCCCGGCCTCTCCTCCCCTCGGCGCCCATGTCCGGCGCGGGCGCGGCGGCGGCGCCGGTGCGGGGCCCTCGCCGGCCAAACCGGTTGGCGGCCGAGCGGAGGGCCCAGTACCGCAGGGCCGAGGGCCGCGCGGTGCAGTGCCTCCTCGGCGCCTTCGAGGAGCTGCGCGGCCATCGCGGCGCCGAGCCGACGCGCCTTGGCGCGGCGATCGCGGCCGCGCTCGCGCGCGCGCCCGCGGCGGGCCCTGAGGAGGCTGGATGCGCTCCTGGCGGCGGCGGTGCTGCTGCCGAGGGCGATGGCGGCCCAGGCGCGCCCGCAGCCGGCTCCCCTCCCCCTGCGGTACGCGGTCGTGGCGACGGGGAGCGTGCTGTCGGCGGGGCCGCTTCGGGCGCCTCCGAGTCTCCGCCAGTGTCGCCCAGAGCTGGGAAGCCAGCGCGGAGCGGGGCGGTGCGCCGAGGCGTGTGTTCGGGCCCCTGCGGGGGATGACTGCCCAGCAGGGAGGCGCTGCTGGCCAGGATCCGCGGGCGGCGGTCGCGACGGGGCCGAGGATCGACTGGAGCGCGGTGCAAGCGGCTCCCACGGAGGTCCCAGGCCCGACCCAAACAGATTGCATGCAGAGCTGCCCCACTGGCTCGAGAAATAGCAGCGCCGCATACCCAAGGAGGCCTCTAGAGAAGAGGGAGGCGAGTACTTGGGGAGTGGCAGCCGCCTGCCCAGGGAGGCCCCTAGAGAAGTGGGGGGCGTGTACTTGGAGAGTGGCTTGAGCTGCTCAGAGTATGCACGACATGGACATGTTGTAGCTGTGGTGCTTGCTATGTTGAATCAAATGTTCGGAGTGACTTGGGTGTGCAATTGATTTGTATGCATCTCATCGCCTTTCTCCACCTGTGGAGGGACATGATCAGTTGTCTTGTATATCTGAAATATGGTGAACAGTTGTTTTGCGGCCGTGAGCTTAACTTTCCGATCAGATGGTACATGTTGCGTCCTGTCTCTGCTTTGTGTGTCACGCGCGCTCACCAATAAGAGGCTTGACGGTTTTGATCTCGTGACGCTTCGCGTCTGTTCCGATTCCGATTCCTCCTCCTCCTCCTCCTTCTCCTCCTCCTCCTCCTCCTCTTCCTCCTCCCCCTCCTCCTCCTCGTCCTCCTCCTCCTCCGCTTTGTCCTCCTCCTCCTCCTCCTCCTCCTCTCCAGGCCCCCGGCGTCGAGAGATCCCGTCGCCAGCCCGTGGAAGAGCAGCGGCTCCTCCCCCGACGCCAGGGGACGGCGTCCCCTACGGCCAGAAGCTTCTGGTCAGCTTTTCGCGCCTCCCCGGGGCCGCCGCCGCGACAGGCTGAGCAACAATTTCGGTGCTGCGTAAGACAAGCCTTTCGCTGGAGTGACCATCGGAGCGGGCACTCTGCGACTTAGAATCTTCTCCGTGGTGACCTGGGCCATAGCTCTGTCCGTCTCCACGTGCACTCCTTTTTCTGTCGTAGGAGCTCTGTTCGCACGATGTCCCCGCGAATAGTTTTTCATTGTGATATTGAAGTAGCTACGTAGATTCGCCAGAACCACAACAGTAGGTCTCTGTGCCCAGTACGCCGCCGGTCCGCTCATACGCCGTTCGACCGAGCATTGGTTGCCGATTCTGCTGCAGGAGCTTGACGGTGCCCAGCACTTGGCCTGGGTCTGGTACAGTTTGGCCCTTCAGAGCTCCACCGCCCCCCAGGTCTCACAGGTGTCGGCTTCTGGTTTTGGAAGATATCGCCCCCGTGGTAGAGCTTGGCCCACGAATCTTCAAGGGTAGCCTGGTGCTTTTGGGGGAGATCGTCACCGTGATAGAGCTTGGCCCACGAATCTTCAGGGGCAGCCTGGCGCATCTGCTCGTCTGCGCGATCGGGAAAGGGGAAGGAGGAGAGGTGGGGGGAAAGGAAGAGGGCGCGGGGGGGGGAGCGAAGCGGGGGAGAGGCTCCCCTCCTCCTTGCCTCCTCAGCCTCCTCCTCCTCCTCCGCCTCCACCTCCTCCTCCCTCCTCCTCCGCCTCCTCCCTCCTCCTCCTCCTCCTCCTCCTCCTCCTCCTCCTCCGCCGTAGTCGCCAGTCCCAGCTGCGGGCGTAGTCGCCAGTCCCAGCCTTCCTTCCGCCGTGAGTTCCCGACTCCACCGCTGGGCCAGCCCCCCCGCAGCACGGGGGATACGGGTCTTCCGCCTCCTCCTCCTCGTTGTCGTCGTCGTCGTCCTCCTCCTCCTTCTCTTCCTCCTCCTCGTCATCGTCCTGGTCCTCGTCGTCTCGTCGTCGTCGTCGTCGTTGTCCTCGTCGTCGTCGTCGTCGTTGTCGTCGTCGTCGTCGTCGTCTTGTCGTCGTCGTCTTGTCGTCGTCGTCGTCTTGTCGTTGAGGCTGGACCGATCGAAGCTGTGCAGTTGAAAGTCTCCCGCACCTGGTACCTCGCCCATGAAGGTCTAGAGCCCCTCGGTAACGTCGATCACGATGTTCCCCGAGTCCAGCGTCGAGATCTCGCCGTGGGCGCTTGGGTGCGCCATCCAGCCTTCAGAGGCTGCGGCGGAATCAGTGGTACCTCGTGCCTTATCTCGGCAGCGTTGACGACGCTTGCCGTCGGGATGCCAGGAATGCCTCCGAGGCCAAATTGTATCAGCGCGGTTATAATGACATCCGCTTAAGAGGATGTGGCAGCAGTAGTGGTACTTCGTGGTTTGTCTTGGCATCGTGCGCGACGCTTGCCTTCAGGCTGCCTCTGAGGCCAGTTGGTATCAGAGCGGTTGCTACAACAGCTGTTCGGCCACCAACTTTTCACCAGCCCTCCGAGTCTTCTCGTCGCGAAATGCTTCATCATGCCCCGTGTGATCCGCTGCTTGGCGATGCAGGCCACTGAAGGGCGTGCTTCCACCATGCGCGAGGCTGCGCATGAGTCCGCTGCAGTCAACCCGCGCAGTAAGGATGAGCAATACTCCAAGGTTACACCTGCATTCCTCCCCTTTGGCCCATCCCTGGCCGCTCTCGCTGGCCGCGCCCGGCTCGCAGAGGGTCGGCATGGCCTTCCAAGGTCTTGCATCCTTTATCGTGCGCCCTCACGAGACGGGTTGACTGGAGCTCCTGGTTGGAGGTCATCGCCAGGACGTGCAGCGTCTGAGCCAGCATGCATTTTACAGCCGGGGCCCAGAAGAAGGAACCCTTTTCGTTGGGGAGGGACTCCGTGTTCCTTGCTTGTTTCGCAGCTTGCCTCATGTTTTCCTTGTGAGAAAAAGTTTCCATGGTAAATCAGAGTTTAACGTATGGGAAAAAGGGGCCTCGTTTCTTATTTGGGGTTCCTTAGGTCAACGCCCCGACTGTATTCCAAGTCAGGTGCTGGGAGCGCGACGGCGCGCCCGAAGGTCCCGCGGCGCTGTGGCCAGAAGCCTCGTTCAGGTGTGGTTGACGAGAGTCATGCTGTGCAATCTCTGGTGCTCGGCTTTCGCGCTGGCAGTGCCCCATCGTGCCGCAGTTCTTCAGAGCGTGAATTACCTACCCCGCTTTCGCTTCCAGGCAAAACCAAGCCATACCACGCGCCTCCTCGTCAAGCGGCCTGACCAGTACAGGCTGCAGTTTGGCATCGTTTGGTATCTCTTGGAAGCGAGGGTGGTCAAAAGCGAGGTAGGTTTGCTTTCCCCCTAGTTCTAGCACTTCGCTTGAGACTTGAACGATCGTTTCCTGATGCTGGCGATGCGTTTTTTTCGTCGTCGAGCGTCTCGTCGTTCTCGTCGGGGGTAGGTCTTGCCCCAGGACTTCCCTTTGGACCCTGGCGACTTCCCCTTTGCCGTCGTTGCCGCCTTTGCCCGAGCTCTTGTTCTGCCAGCTGCCCGGTGAGAAGAAGCCCCTCGAGTGCCTTGGATCTCTGTCATCTCACATCTCGTTCTCCTCGTAGACTCTGTCGACATCCGTCTTGTAGATCCAGAACAACTCCTTGTCGTCGTCCAGGTCTTCTAGTTCCTCATCGCCGCTCAGGTCGGTGTTGAGGCCGATCTCGTTCATGTAGTTTTTGTTCGTGCCGAGTTCCTGGTACTGCGGCAGGTCGAACTTGTGTAGGAGCTGTACCAGCGTGTCCATTTCGAAGTTGCTGTCCGTCCAGGTAAACACCGTAGTCTTCTCTGCTTGAGTGAGCTGTGCCATTTCCAACTCGAGCTCGCCTTGCAGCGCAGTCGCCAGCTAAGCTCCGTGCGCCATGCCCAGCTTGGTGAAGTCCATCTTGTTGTTCACACAGGCTGCCATACAGGTCTCGTGAGAATAGCGGGGCGCGTACAGCGTGTCTTCCCGAGTCTGGCTGTCGTCCATCGTCTGGTAGCCCTCGTAGGCTTGCCGAGGAAGTTGAGAATGTTATAGAATGTTGTTGCGAACGTCCTCTGAGGCCCACTTATGATGTCGTCGTCCAAGCCCTCGCAGAGCCTCGCAGCCTCTTCCTTCAGACCGTGGCTGAGGAATCGTACTCTAAGTCTGCGTTCGATGACGGGGTCTTGATCGTCGGCACGGAGAACCATCTTGCGTCTCGTAACGTGCCAAGCCAAATGCTGTCCCACTCTGGCTGGTTATCCATTGGTGCAGTGTGTGGTCGGCTGTTTTTCTTCTTTTCTTGTTGGTTGTCGCGTTTCTCCTGCTGCTTGTCCAATTCCTCGTCGTCGAATGCCGACATCGCGCGAGAGCTGGTCGGTTCATTTGAACTCGAACTGAGTGAGCAGAGACTCCTGAGTAGACAACGCGAATATGAATTCCTGCGTAGACGGCGAAAATTGACTCCTACGTAGACAGGGCGAGTATGGACTCCTGCGCACGCAGGTCGAATGTGGACTTCTGAGCCAGCAGGATGAGAGACTGGCCGACGCCGCGGACCATCGACCACGTGGCTCTGCTGCCACCGTAAAACGACAATATGATTACTGTATGGATAGCGATCGGAATGCTTTTCGCTCAGGTGCGCGGCGCGTACCAGCCAGCTCAAGGTGCCTAAGCCATAACGGTTGCGGAGGAGAAAGACGAGGGGATAGGAACGGAGCAATAATTCTCACAGGGGTGGAGGAGGAGGTGGCAGAAGTGAGGACAGCACAACTCACCTCCCACCCCAGCCAGGACCCCCGCTCACGACCTGGTGATCCGGGGGGTCCCCCCCTGCGGGTGGGGATCGCTTCGGGGGGTGTTTTTGGGGGGCAACCTTCCCCTGGCCAGGACATCCTTGATCGTCAGGTCGGGAGTGTGTGGGGTGGGGGATGGGGGGAAAGTGGAGCAGGGGGGGGGGAGGAGGGAGGGAGCGAGGGAGGAGGGAGAGAGGGAGAGGAGAGGGAAGGGGAGAGGAGGCGAGGGAGAGAGGGAGGGGAGAGGACGGAGGGAGGGGGAGGGGGATGGGGGCCGTGCTGTGCTCAAAGAAGGGGGAGAGACGGGACAGGAGCCAGCGGCCCAAGACGCGGCCTCTCCTCCTTGGCCCGCCGCCCCCCCCGGCGAGGTGCTGGAGCTGACGGACGACCTGGACGCCGTGAGGACCAGGATTCCCACTCTGCTCCCTCCTCCTCACCTTGCGATCCTCGATGCCTCCTCCTCCCCCCTCCCTCTCTCTCTCCTCTCCACTCCTCTCCGTCGAGGTTTTCTCCACGATTACTATTGAGGTGTTCCTCCGACGCTCCTCCTCCTCCTGGATCCTCAGCCTTCCGGGGATATGAGGGTCGGGCTGTTGTTCTTGCTGTTGGATCTTACTTCTTGAACCGTTCTTGATGTTTGGCCCCCTCGGTCCGCCTTGGCGTTCTCGCCTCGGCACCTGCTTCATTTCCTTTGAAATTGAGGCTCACCCTCAAGCGTTTCGCGGTTCCGCCCAAACCAACCCCGCGGCAACAACAACAGCAGCAGCAACAACCCCTACAACACCACCAACAACATTCAACAACACCACCAACAACAGCATCAACAATACCACCACCATCAGCAACAACAACACCACCAGCAACAGCAGCACCAACAACACCAGCACCAGCACCGACAACACCAACACAAACAACAGCAAAAGCATCAACAGCAGCAGCAGCACCAACAACAACAGCAACACCAACACCGGCACGAACAACACCAAACACGGCAGCAACGACAACACCAACAACAGCAACGCTCCCGCTCGACAATTCCTTCCCCACTTCACTCAGGGCCAGCATCCTTGTGCGCGGCCGGAAGCTGGCACTCCAGCACCACCAGGGCTCTCGCTCGATGTCTCGCATCTCTTTAGGCAGGAGTTAAAACGACGCGAAGATCGGGACAAAATCGGATCGGGATAACTCGAAATCTCTGAGAATCGGCGGGTTGGGAGGATGTATTGGGCGCCGCGGCCGCTCCAGAGCGTTCCGGAACGCTCTGAGAGCGCTCCGGAATGCTCTGGAGCGATTTATCCCGATCCTAGCCCTGTTTTAGGAGTGGCGTTCGCGTTTTGGGGACGCAAACAGCCCCCCCCTTGAACAACGGCGCTTCCGCTTGATACGTCTTCGTTTTTACTCAAGACGTGCGCCCATGGTCGCCGCCGAAAGCGGGCCCTCGCATAAAACCAGCACTCCCGCTCGATATTTCTTACTTTGGTGCCTTGGAGTGGCTTTCCGCCTTGGGTCCGCAGTCCGACTCCACAGCAACAGTGACTCTCCCGCTCGATACGTCATTGCTTCTTTACTGAAGGCTGGCGCTCTTGGTCGCCGCCGAAAACTAGCCCTCCAACAAAACCAACGATCCCCCTCGAAACTTCCATGCTTGTTGCACAGGAGTGGTGCTCCCGCCTTGGGTCCGCAAACTGGCCCTCCTTGTTTCTCAAGACTGGCGCTATTGCTCGCTGCCGAAACCGCCCCCCAACAAGACCAGCGCTCCCGCCTGACAGTCTCACAGTTTTAAGAAGGACAGGCGCTTGCGCTTCGGCGCCGCAATCTGGCCCCCCTACAACAACGACGCTTCCGCTCGACATCCTTGCATTTTTTCCAAGAGTGGAGCCCTCATTTTGGCATCGCCTCTGGAGTGCTCCGGGCGGCCACAGGGGGGGGTCCGAAAATCCCCTTGAAGAGGCGCCACAAAGGTCCCGAAGAGGCGCCAATAAACTTCAAGGGGGTCCGAAGAGACCCCCGGACGGCCCGAGACAGCCACAAGACGGCTCAACAAGCCGCCAAGACGGCCCAAGCGAGCGAGGCCCCCTAATTCATGATTTCAAGATGGTCAAGTACATCGTAAGAGGTGAAAGAGCAGCAGCATTTTCGGGCGGGAGCTCTGGGTAAGGGAATATCGGGCCGCCTATGAACGAATTCCATCATCAATGGGGAGGCTGTCGTGATAGATGCATGTTGAGTATCGATCAGTTGAGCATTATGGTGAACATGTAGTGTTTTTTTTTTGTTGTGGCTATTGTTGTTGTTGCTATAATTGTTGTAGTTGTTGTTGTTGGTGGTGTTTTTGTTGTTGTTGATGTTGTTGTTGTTGTTGTTGGTGTTGTTGTTGTTGTTGCTGTTGTTGTTGTTGTTGTTTGATGAGTTCTGATTTCTGAAGAAGAAATATCGTTGGTCCCCCTCCTAGAACCATTGCATGTTTCAATGAAAGCGTTTCTACCGAGGCTCGCACCCAGTTTACTGCGCCCCTGGCCCCCATCATGATCAGTACGGGTAGTAGTCGCAGTAGTGGCCGTATTATTATTAGCCCTCGTCGTACTAGTATTTCTAGTAGTAGCAGTGGTGTCAGTAGTATTCGAATAGCAGTAGTACGATTGGTATTCGGACTACGGTTAATTGCGGTAGCATTTCCAGTGCTCGTTCTACTACCACCACTATCTCCACTACTACTACTACTTCTGCTACTACGACTGCTACGTCTACTTCTACTTCTACTACCACTACTACTACTACTACTACTACTAGTAGTAGTAGTAGTAGTAGTAGTAGTAGTAGTAGTAGTAGTAGTATTAGAAGTAGTAGTAGTAGTAGTAGTAGTAGTAGTAGTAGAAGTAGTAGTCGTAGTAGTAGTAGTAGAAGTAGTAGTGGTAGTAGTAGTAGTAGTAGTAGTAGTAGCAGTAGTAGTAGTAGTAGTAGTCGTAGTAGTAGTACTAATAGTAGTAGTAGCAGCAGTACTATTGTTACTTCTCGGACTACCAGTAGTAGCAGTCGTACAACTCAGCAATCGTAGTTTACGTTCAAGTGCTATTTGCATTACTATACACGCAATACGCTCCGCTTGACGTTTTCTTTCGTAGAACGGAGGTCTGCCGGTGCATGCTCGTATGTAGCGTGGACACTCCAAGGCAGCTTGGTAAGTGTGGTTTTTTGGGGTAAGTTTGTATTCCTGGCGTTGCGTTGCCTTGTGTTGCGCCGTGGGGGGGGGATATGGGTTCGCAGTCGGGGCATCCGCCAGATGGAGGAAGCTTGGACTGCGACCCACTTGGGAGGGCATCTTCTTAAAGACTGATTATTGTTGATCCCCCCACCGGTGCACACTGTGTTTTTTCATTTGAAGTGTCCCCCTCGGGGGTAGCCTTGTTTCTTGTCAAGAAAGTCTTCATGCTCAAAATGTGCCCCTGGCCCCCCGACTCCAACAATGACTCCCGCCTGATGTTTCCTCACAACGTCTTCCAAGATCGCGCTCTCGCGCATGCTTCCTTACAGTTTATGTAGGGCTCGCGTGGAATTGATTCGTATTGTGCTCAGACGCCGCGCCCTCGACACTCAGGAAATCACTCTCCCTTTGCATTTCTTAGGTTTACTGAGGAATCGCGCCATTGTCTGACAATCCCTCGCGATTCATGCAGGACTCACGCTTCAGCAACCCGCCTGCTGGACCTTGCCGCCTGGGTCCGCCTTCCCGGCTCGCCCGCTAGGGTCTGCCCGCCCGATCTGCCCGTCTGGTTCTACCATGTGTTTTATTGCTACTGGCCCCCCTCCTTGCTAATTTCTCTCATGCTCCATCCTTCTCTCCCCCCTTCCGTCCGTTCTATTTTCCCGTGTTTGAGGGGCTGCACTCAATGCACGTAGCAAGTAAGGTGGATATGCCCCCAAAGGGTTACTATCGAAGAACAGCGCGGGTGCCGAGGGTTTGGGGCATACGCGCTTAATGACCCGCAAGTGTGTAAGGGCAATCGGTCTTACATTGAGTGCAGTTGTTGCTGTTGTTATAGGTGAGTTCTATTCCAACATATCATTATTGTTCATCCCCCTGCTCGGTACACCTCATGGCGTTCCAATTGAAGTGCTCCTCTGGGGGCTCGCACCCTGTTTCTGACATGGCAGAATCTTGGTTCTCAAACTGGCCCCCTGGCAGCCCCCTGGCACCAGGTTTCAACAACAGCGGTTTCCGCCTGATATTTCCTCACAGTGTATTTCAAAATCGCGCTCTCGTGCGGACCTTGCTTTAAAAAGAAGAAATGCGTTCTCGCGTGGTACTTCTTACAATTGATTGCAGCGCCGTGCCTCCAAGACTCAGGAATCGCGCTCTCGCTCGAAACCTCCTTGCGATTCATGTTGGGTTGACCCTTCAGCGACCAGCCCGCTCGACTCGGCCGTCTGAGCCCGCCGGCCCGACCTGCCACTTAGGGAATAGGGTCCGCCCGTCCGACCCGCCCTTCTGCCTCTGCCGCTTTTGCTCCAGCTCCTAACCCTCCTCCTGCAAACCCCTCTCGTGCTGCATCCTTTTTCCTCCCCCTTGCCTCTTCCCTCCTCCCTTCCCTCCCTTGTTTCAGGGGCTGCGCCAACTACGCGTGGCAGGCAGGGATGATACATCCCCAAGTGGGGTACGATCGAGGACGAAGAGTGCGGGTGTCGAGGGTTTGGGATATACGTGTTGAATGGCACGCGGGCAGATAAGATCGAACAGCCTGAAACTGATTGCTGTTGTTGACGAAGGTGTGCTCCCGAAGCCTGAGGAGGAGTCTTAGAGTAACTGGGGCGAGGGGGGCGCGGCCAGCGATGATGAACCAGGGTGAAGGATCACTGCGAGGATGCGGAGGATGAGTAATGACGGAGAGGGAAAGAGAGAGAGAGAGAGACGAGGATGCAGGGCATGAATGAGAGATGAAGATGATACTGGTGATGGTGATGTTGCTGCTGCTGCTTCGTGATGATGATGATGATGCTGATGGTGATGATGATGATGATGATGATGTCGATGATGATGATGATGATGATGATGATGATGATGATGATGATGATGATGATGATGGTGGTGGTGATGATGATGATGATGATCATGATGATGCTGATGATGATGATGATGATGATGATGGTGATGGTGATGATGATGATGATGATGATGATCATGGTGATGGTGATGGTGATGGTGATGGTGATTGTGATGATGCTGCTGATGATGATCATGTTGATGATGCTGATGATGATGATGATGATGACGTTGCTGCTGGTGTTGATGTTGGTTTGATGCGACAGGAGAGGGATGCTGGACTTGCGATTGGGCCAGAGTCCAGAGGAGAACGGAGGGGGTGGAGGAGGGCGGCCAGAGGATATAATGAGCTGGAGAGGTGACGAGGGCACGGGGAAGGCAGGACGGAGGGAGGAAGACAGAAGATGTTGAGAAGTAGGAGGGGGAGGAGCAGGTGGAGAAGGCGGAGGAGCAGGAGGAGGAGGAGGTGGAGGAGGAGGAGGAGGAGGAGGAGGAGGAGGAGGAGGACTGGTGCGGAGGATGATGATCTGGAGCAGAACCAGGGAGGCGTATGAGGAGGCGGGACGGCGAACTAATAGGGTAAGAGGATGATGAGGTGGGGAAGGACATGACGGATGCGGATGGTTAGGAGTATCGCAGATTACACGACGAGACGGGGGGACGAGGAATGTTGCACAAACGAGGACGGATAAGTTATAGGCGCAGGAATGACGACTGTGGACTAGGACCAAGCGGCGGAAGAAGGAGGGGATGTGGATGAGTAGAAGGGAGGCAGGTAAAATTAGGGACGGCGGAGATGGGAGGACAGAAGGGAAGGTCAACAAGGAGAAGGAACCGGGAAGGAAAGGACTGTGGAGGACGGACCAGGGGGTGACCAAAGGTAGGACGACCAGGAGGAAGTCGAAAAGCGAGTGAAGATGGATGGAGGAGAAGAAGGATGCGGAGTAACGAGGGAGGGAAGGCGGAAGATCAGGGATGAAGTGAAAGAGAGGGGGAGGATAGTGAGACGGATAAGGGGCGAGGGGGGGAGGGGGGGGAGAAGGATGATGAGGAGGAGCAATTGGTGGGAAGGAGGAGAGGGGAGGAGGACAGCAGTTTGCCCTGCCGCCTCGAGTATCCAGAGCATGACATGGCAGAAGGGCTTCACGAACATGATGCAGGCTTTCCAGGCTGCCGACAACTTGCTGCAGGACGTACGCCCGGGTGCATTCTCATCGGGGGCGGTTGGCGGTCTGCAGGGCCTGTACGTGGCCGGATGCCCAGGGAAGGCGCTCGGCTCGCCTCCTGAAGAGTTGCGGTTCCGCCTTGGCGCCGACAACGCTCGGCTGCTCCGAACGGCCATCGTTCTCGCGAGCAGCGAGCGGAGGGCGCCAGCCAGGACGGTGCAGTGGGGAGGGTGGTGGTCAAACAGCTCATCATTATCAGCATCAGCATCATCATCACCGGCATCAGTAGCATCATCCTCCTCATCATTTTCATCATTTTCATCATCATCATCATCATCATCAGCAGCAGCAGCACCACCATCAGTATCATCACACCTGTGCTTTGTGGGGTCTTGTTTTTCTTCTCACCCTCGTCCCACCCGCGAGGAACACACCTCGTTTACTTGGTGAGCCCTCACACCACATGAAATCTGCGCTCCCAACACACCTCCCTCCTTTCTCTCCTTCTCTTTTCCACCTTCACTCGCATGTGCTCCATACACAAATGAAATGCTGTCTGACGCAGCACGACGCCCGCATGCGACACACGTATACAACCGCACACTATGATAAACTTGCGCCAGGCACGCAGACGCGGACCGCACACACACACACAGCACATACAGCACGCAGCACACGCAGCGTGGCATTTTCTTCACACCACAGGGGGTGTGCAGGGGCTGCGGCCGCTTTCCATTTCGGGCTCGCCAGGCGTGGCAGGCGTGGTGTTCTCTCGACGTTGCATGGCGTGCCTTGGGGGTGCGGCCGCTATCCGTTTCGGGCTCGCAGAGCGTGGCAGGCGTGGCTCTTCCTCGACTCCGCAGGGGGAGCCTTCGGGGTGCGGTCGCTGTCCGTTCCGGGCTCGCAGAGTGTGGCGGGCGTGGCTTCTCCTCGGCCGGGGGTGCGCTGGGGGTGCGGTCGTTATCCGTTTCGGGCTAGCCATGTGTGGTAGTCGTGTCGTCTCCTCGACTCCACGGGGGAGCGCGGGGTGTGCGAGCGGTGTCCGATTCGGGCTCGCAAAGCGTGGCAGGCGTGGCATTCTCGACGCCACAGGGGGTGCTTTGGAGATGCGGTCGCTGTCCGTTGCTGGCTCGCAAAGTGCTGCAGGCGTGGCAAGGGGTGCGTCGGGGGTGCGGTCGCTGTCTTTTTTTCGGGCTCGCGAAGCGTGGTAGGCGTGGCGTTTCCTTGATGCCAGACGATTGCGCATGGGGCGGGGGGGCTTGCGCGGGCGAGAGCTCGTGCGTTACCCAGAACAGCAGACACCTTGGCTCAAGCAGGCTCGGCACGCGTGCGCTTTCACATAGGCGCGCCTGCAATCCAATATCAGGGCAGAGCGAGACTCGAGTCTCTGTGGTGTGGTCTTGTTGGTCTGGTTGATCTCGTTGCTTGGCCTAGTTGCCTCGTGTGCCTTGGAACCTTGTTCAGGCGCCTTTGGCTGGACCGGCTGGTCCGGTTGGCATGGTTGATTTGGTCGGTTGGCCTGGTTGCCTCGCGCGTCTTGGCATACTCCTTGAGCGTGTTTGGCTGGCCTGGCAGAAATGGCTGGTCTGGTTGCCTGCCCTGGCTGGCTTGTCCGGTGCGAGCACGTAACGGCTCCATATGAAATAGCGTCGCAGGCTTTGCAAGAGGTGTGTGCGGTACCTCGGCAGCGTAATCTTCGGGTCAGGGGTGGAATTAAACGGTGTTTTGGCGATTTCGCGGGCCGTGTTCGTTTTGATGTTGTTTTGAGGTAAAGGCGAATTGAAGACACAACGAGGGACACCCAAAATTACCGCAGTGCGACCCTACCTAGAAGTTGGAGCCCCTAGGAAAGCAGCACTAGTTGCTATGCTATGCTGGGGTATGCCATGCTATGCTGCGCTATGATATGCTATGATATGCTATGCTATGCTATGTTATGCTATAATAAGCTATGCTATGGCATGCTGCGTTGTGCTATGCTAAGCTATGATATGCTATGTTAAGCTGCGCTATGATATGCACTGTAATGCTATGCTATGCTATGCTATGCTATGCTATGCTATGCTATGCTATGCTATGCTGCGCTATTCTGCGCTATGCTATGCTATGCTTGGCTGTGTTAGGCCATGATATGCTATGATAATGCAGCGCTGCGCTATGCTAAGCTAAGCTAAGCTACGCTAGCCCTCTAGGCAGAGCCTAGGTAGGGACTTACACCCATGCTAATACTATGCTCTGCTATGCTATGCTATGCCATGCTGCGCTGTGCTATGCTGTGCTGTGCTTTGCTGCGCTATACTCTGCTATGCTATGTTATGCTGCGCTATGCTATGCTATGCTGGGCTATGCTATGATATGTTGTGCTGCGCTATGCTCTGCTACGCTCTGCTATGCTATGCTGTGCTCTGCGATGCTAAAGCTCGACGAAACTAAGATAAAGGTAAGCTAAGCTAAGAGAAACCTGAGCTAAGATGAAGCTAAGCTAAGCTAATATTAAATTAGCTAAGCTAAGATGAGATAAGCAACGCTAAGTTAAGGAGACGTAACTGGGGGAACCGTGGGGCGGATGCCCGGGGAACCGCCCAGGGCGTTTTCCACTGCCCAGCCCCTTTAAGCCAAGAGGGTAAGAACCCTTCTAGGCAGAGCGGTAGGGAACAAAACGAAAACGAAAAACACCGTTTAGGTTCAGCCCTGCTTCGGGTGCTGCTGTTTCTGTCGTTCCCCTCGCCATTGACGCGTCCAGCGAGCACGGCGTGGAGCGGGGCAAGAGGCCGCGGGGCCTCGAGCCGCAGTCATGGACGACTCCGCTTCCTACGCTGCTCTCCACCTTCTCTCGATCCTCCTCCTCCTCCTCCCTCCTCCTCCGCCTCCTCCTCCTCTTCCTCCTCCTCCTCCTCCTCCTCCTCCTCCTCCTCCTCCTTATCGCCAAGTCAGGTTCATTCAATTCGGCCGTCGTGCCCCCGCGTGGTTCATCATCTGCCCCCCAACGGGCTCTCGGCGCCACGCGTTCTCCTCCCCCCCCTTCCTCCTCCTCCTCCTCCTCCTCCTCCTCCTCCTCCTCCTCCTCCTCCTCCTCCTTCTTCTTGGCACCTGTGCCACTCCTGTTTGCCCGTAAGGGCCAGGCGGAAAACAGGCGGGTTGCAGCCCGATCGTCAACCTTGTTTGCCCGTGGGGACCAGGGGAGAGAAAACTGCATCTCGTCGCCAGCTCCCCCCTTGCGGTGGCCCGGCACGTACACCGCGTGCGCCTGGGCGGGGGAGCGGGTCCCCTGCGGGGGGCTCATCAGTGGGTCCCGCACCCCTCCCTCCCACGCACAGGGTGCCCCGCCCTGGCGTGCGTGGGGGTGCGGTGCCGCCCGTGGGGAGTGGCGCCCCCACGGGCGGCCTGGGGCGGCACAGGGGTGTCGTTATGTGAGCCTTACGGGGCGGACGCGGCTCAGAAAACTGCTTGGCGGCGTAGGCTAGTAGTGTTTCGTGCGCAGCATGGCACCGCAGTGCTTTGAGGTCGTTGTGCTACACGCGTGGGCCTGTGGGGGAGTTCCTTGCCCTCGCAGCGTGCGGCATGTTTTAGGGTGCTTTTGGGGGGGCCCGTGGGAGAGTTTGGTTGTCCTCGCAGAGTGCAGCAGGGCTTGCGCCGCATCTTTGGCTGTGGGGGAGCGCTTGTCCTCGCATTGTGCTGCAGGCCCGCTCGTCGTCGCCCGCAGCCTGCCTCGGTTACCGAGGGTCCAGTTGCTGCTTGAATTTATTATGCATGACCTCTTTGGTCGAGTCTAGCTTCCTCCTTCTTCTCCTCCTCCTTCTCCTCATCCTCTTCCTCCTCCCTCCCTTCCTCCTCCTCCTCCTCCTCCTCCTCTTCTCCCCCCGTGGCCCCCCTCCGCGCTGCTGGCTCAGGCATGTTGCCTGCCTCGCGCCGCGCCGTCGGGTCGCGCCCCCCTCCCGCGGGACGCGCGGCTTCGGGGATCCCACGGGACCGCCGCCGCCCTTCCGTCCGCCTGGCCCTCCCCCCCCCGCCCTGCCCCAAGGGGATTGGGCCCCCCCAGGACGTTTTTCCTTCAGCCACGCGTAAGGGTGACCCTTCGCCGGAGTGACCTTTGGTGCGGGCTCACAGCGAATCCCCAACAGGGCTCGTTTCGATTCCTCCGATTCGATTCGATCCCGATGGGTTTCGATTCCGATTCGACTTCGGATTCCGATTCGGATTCGGATTTATCAATGAGGTATTGTTATTCTGCCGATTTCTGCCGATTCGACCCCTCCCGACTTGGCTGCCGATCTCTGCCGATGTGATTCATTCCGATCGCTGAGTCGACGTATCGATTCGATTATGGGCCCTCCTGCCCCAACACTGCTCCGCGCTCTTTGATTCGGGACCTTCGAGGGTCACTTTTGCGTGTAGTCGATGATCATGCTCCTCCTCTCCCTCCTTTTGCTTTTCCCCCCTTCCCCCCCCACCCTTTCACCCACCCGTTCTCCCTTCTTTTTCCCCTCCTTCCGCTCCCTCTCTCCCCGCCCGCCCTCTCTGCCCTCACCCTCCTCCCCCTTCCTCCCTCCCTTCTTCCGTTCCCTTTTCCCCCCCTCCCTCCCTCCCTCCCTCCTTCCCCGCGCTTTTCAATCCCTTCCTCCCCCCTATCCTCCCCTCTGCTCTGCTCTGCCCCCCCCCTTCTTCTTTCATCCCCTTTCACAGCCAGCGTGCAAGCGCTCAAACACCGCGCCATCCAAGCAGCGCTCTCCCTCCACCTAGTGCAGGAACAGTCAGCCCCGCTGATCGACAGGTTCCACCGACGTGCCAGAGGCCTGGAAAAAAAGGCCTGCAGCAGGTCCTCAGCCCGTTGCCGCTGTGGGGGCACGCTTCCCTGGCAACCTCCAGGCAGCCTCTTTCGACGCCCAACGGGTGGCACACCAGTGCTAGCCCCACCTCCACCCCCACGGGCCATGAGCACAGTTGTCACCTGAACCGTCGTCCGTGCTTCTGGGGCCGCCGCGGGGGAAGCCCCAAAGCGGCGCCTCTCATTGCCTTGGGGGCTGCATCGCGCAGGCCAGAGCGCGCGCAGGGGCAGCGGTTCTGCCAGGGGGGGGGGGGGGCGCAGACGGGCCACATGGCAGCCTCTTCACCACCGCCCGCCCCTTTTTCCAGACGGGGTCCCCGCGACCGCGCCAGGGGGGAGGTCACCCCACCGCCCCAGCTACATACACGCGGCATTCCCCCCGCCCAAAGATGCTGGCCCGCGCGGCACTCGTGGCCGCAGGGCCTGACCAACTTTGGCTCGTCTGATTGACTGCGATCTCCTCTGCTCAGCCCCCGCCCCCACCATCCTCCCCCTGGTCGTCGCCGTCGTCCTCCCTGTCGCCCCCCCCCCCCCCCTCGTCGGAGGGGAGCGACGGGAGCGGAGGGAGAGGACGAGAACGAGGAGACGTCGCCGAGGAGGAAAGGGGCAGAGAACGAGGAGGGGAGGGAGGTGGTAGAGGAGGACGTCCTCCTCCTCCTCCTCCTCCTCCTCCTCCTCATCATCATCATCATCCGCCTCCTCCTTTTCCTTCCTCTCTTTCCTCCAGCCCCCCTCCTCCCCTCCCCCTCGCCCCCCCTCGCCAGCCTGCCCGCGACGACGAGGAAGAGGAAGGCAGCGAGGAGGCGGAGGAGGAGGAGGAAGGAGGAGGAGGAGGAGGAGGAGGAGGAGGAGGAGGAGGAAGAGGAGGGGGAGGAGGAGGAGGAGGAGAGGAGGAGGAATGGAGGACGAGGGGAGGGAGGAGAGGAGGGAGGAGGAGAGGAGGAGGAGGGAGGAGGAGGAGGAGGAGGAGGAGGAGGAGGAGGGAATAGAGAAACGACGGCTCGGACTGTGCCCCCCCGTGGCCGCAGCCAGGGCCTCCCCGCCCCATGACCGATGGGCCCCCGCCCGGCGCAGCGGCCACCGGGGGAGGCACCACGACCTGTGGGCCCCCGCCCGGCGCAGCAGCCGCCGGACAGGCCGAGGCCCTCGCCGCGGAAGGCCGGCTCGGCGCCCCCGCCCGCGCCTCGCGCCCCCAGCCAGTGCCTCGAGTCCGAGGCCACCTGTCGCCTCCTCTTCCTCCTCCCTCCTCCCCATCCCTCCTCCTCCTCCTTCTCCTTCTCCTCCTCCTCCTCCTCCTCCTCCTCCTCACCTCCTCCTCCCCCTCCTCCTCCTCCTCCTCCTCCTCCTCCGTAGCCATTTTGGCTCAAGATGCCTAGTTCCACAGTGGAACAAGTGGATACCGCTAGTCCGCGGCCAGTGCCAGGGCTCTTGAGCCCGACAGCTTTGTTCAACTCTCCGTGTGCCTCCTGCAGCCCGCAGGTGAGCTTCCTCTGTCTCTCTCGTCCATGGCGCCTCCGCAGCAGCGCAGCGCCTATGTCAAGTGCTACTCCTGCTCGTACTCCTGGAACTACAAGACCAACCAGACGTGCTACTGGTGCAGCAAAGCCTTGGCGCCGTGGACAGACTCCCCGCCTCCAGTTCAAGGCGCCTGGGCGGCCCGCGCCAAGGCCGCAGCCCAGGCCGACTCCAGCTGTGCCCAGCAGCCCAGCCCCGAGACGGGATGGGAACCGTGGTCGTCATGGCCCAAGTCCCGCCGCCGCCGAGGCAATGGCAATGGCAAGAACCAAGAGGACGACTGGTGGGCCAACAAGAACGACACCCCCAAGGTGCGCTCCGCAGAGGACATCCTTGCGGAGCTCCAGGCGATCGCCCCCCACATCGACAAGGCAGCCATCGACGGTATCAAGTCGCAGATCCCGCCGCCCCAGCCGCAGAAGCCAGCCGACCTCAACGACATCTACAGCCGCGCCCAAGCCACGGAGCGCCGCAGCAAGAACAACCTGGAGAGGCTGCTCGAGAGTGAGCAAAAGGCGCTCAGCTGGTACACCGAGCGCAAGGCGGCGTCGGAGGAGGCCGCCTACAAGTTGGCAGAAGCCCAGGCCGAGGCTCAAGCCGCTCTCGATGCCCTCCAAGTCGCTCGCAAGGGCGGCACTGCTACTCCCACGGCCTCGCAGCAGAACCCGACGTTCAACCTCACCAGCCTCCTCGAGGACGGTGACATATCCATCGAAGCGGGTTCGGCGTTCGATCTCCAAGGCCTTGACATCGACGACAGCGATCGCCAGGCATGGGAATCCCTTCAGCAGCGCTTCGCCACGGAGCTCAAGGCCAAGGTCACCGAGCTCTTCGGCAACACCGCCAGCCGCATCAGCCAGCTCCGCACAGAGGCCAGCACCATGCGCACGCGCTTCGCCGCGAAGCGACAGCGGTCCGACGAGGACGGTCACGCCCGAGAGGGAGGTGGATCTCCGCCCGCCGCCTCGGCGGCAGCAGGCGAACCCCCAGCGGCAGCCGCAGCGGACGTTGATGGCTCTGCGGCCTCATCGACAGCGGCGCCAGGCGATGAGCCTCCCGCACCTGCTGCTGGCGCTACTTCTGACGGCAGCTTCGCTACAGCCTGTACCAGCCTGTACCAGCGATCAACAAGGACCCCGACCTCGAAGACAAGGCACAGAAGATGCTCAGCCAGATGCGCAAGCCCACCGCGACCGCCGCGGCTGGAGCGCAGCAGCCTCTTTAGCCGACTACTACCTGACCCTGGGCGGAATGGTGAGACGGGACGCCTACCGTCAGAGACCAAGAACTACGACAACCCACCGATCATCAACACAATGGACGCAGTCCTCGACCCGTTCGACGAGCTGGCCGAGTTGGACGCCCACATCGATTTCGCAGCCACAGTTCAGTATGCTACCGCCCCGCCCGAGACGCTGTCCTCGGTTGGGGGCGATGAGGCGGCACAGTCCGTCGACGCAGTATCATGCGACCCAGGGCAGCCGCAGCGTGCCGCGCGAGCCGACCCTGATGCCGCTCCGCCCGAGACGCTGTCCTCGGTAGGGAGTGATGAGACGGCCCAAGCTGTCGACAAGCAGTTGGTACAGGAACCAGGGGATCTGTTGCCAATGGCACACCCTGATGCCGCCCCGCCCAAGACACAGTCCTTGGTAGGGGGCGATGAGATGGCGGTAGCTATCGACTCGACCGCTGCGAAAGGCCCATGGAAGCCCAGCAGCCCGAGACCCGACCCCAGACCCGTCTACCAAGACGAAGGCCCTACGAATCCCACGCCGTCAGATCACTCCCTGTTCTTCTCCAACATTACCCAGTGGGGGCCACAGTCGGAGAAATGGTTGGCAGGACCAGGCAAACAATATCAGATGGTGGCATTGGTTGAAACACACATCTCGCACGGTAAGGCCCCTCCCATCTACGACAAGCTAGCAGCGGATGGTTGGAGGATATCATCGACTACAGCCACGCCGACCAGCAGATCCGACGGAGGCAACACGGGCGGCGAGATTATCCTCTCCAGGTACCATGTCCAGGCCACAACCTTCAACCACCTCCGCGACCTGGCCATCTCCCAGCGCAGGCCCGACCCGTTCCGAGGCTTCACGCCCGTGGTATGGCACAGACGCTCGGGCAACCTGGTCGTTATTGCAGCATGCCCCTAGAACCCCACAGGCAGATCGAGGGTGCAGTGCGCGATAAGCTACTCTCGCTGGGGGCCTTCGTTACTATGCTCACTGACCCTTGGATCATCCTGGCCGATTGGAATATGACTCCTGAGCAGCTCGCAGCGACAGAGTGGCCCGCCAAATGGAATGCTACCATCGTGCGAGCGCCTGGATCTGCCACGTGCGACAAAGGCCAGGGACTCACGCTCGACTTCGCATTGGTCAAGACTGGCATCGAGCACACGATCTCCATTCGCCAGTGCCCCACCGTCCCCTGGGCCACCCACGTGGGCCTTGAAGTTCGAGCAGGCAGTGCAGACCCCTGGTGGTATCAGTCGATCCATACCCCCAGAGCATTCCCCACAGTGGACAGACCCAGGATCCCACCCGACCCCAACAGCAAGTCCGCCATCAAGAGACGTAAACCAGCAGAAGCTCGAGCAGCACGCCTACGCGAACTACCTCCTGAACTCCAACAAGCAGCAGCACAACTCCAGCCTCAAGACGAGCCCGCAGCACAGGAGCCTATCCCTTACGCTATCCCGACCGACCTCTGGGAGGAGCAATGGCAGCAAGCAGTGCCCACGCGTTGTAAGCAGCCCCACGCGCACTTCGTGTGCACTCACTGGGCGCACGACGCCGACGACCTTAACCTCAAGTACGCCAAATGGGTCACGGCGCTCGAGAACACCATGATCAGCCACCACCAGATCGACCCCAAGGAAGCCGCAGCTTTCACAGGCCGTGCCCAAGGCTACCAATTGTCCTGGAAGAAGACGACCGCCGCCCCAGGCCGCGTTCACGTACATGACCCTCAGTCGGAATGGTGGGCAATCACGCTCACCCTCATCAAGCGCTACGCTGCGCTTCACGACAAGCCCAAGCACACAGCGCTCATGCAGCAGCAGGCCTCCATCATCCAGCAGCGCGCGGACCACTTCAGCGCTCACTTTCACGACCTCCAGTTCGAGAAGGACGAGGACACCATCTTCCGCTGGTTTGCACTCGTCTGGGCCCCGCACTTGGACAACGAGGACACCGACGACTTGGTCACTATTACTGCTACTTGGGCCTCCAGAGCGCTTTCCGCCGCCCTCGCTAAGTCCAAGAGGGCCTACGGCGCCTGGCTCGCCAAGCAATGGGAACACCGCCCTGGGGTACTACACGCCCATGTCAAGCCAGCGCCCGTGCGTCACATCGAGGCCTACACGACCAACCTGACCATCGCCGACCCCACCGTTATCATGGACAGCAAGAAGCAACAATGGCAACAAGTACGGCAGGCCACCGAGACCCCCGACGACATCCTACAGGCGCTATCAAAGGCCAAGGCAGCAGCCGCACACCAACCGCTCGAGCCCATCACAGCCGAGATCGTGCATCGCTTTCACGGCCGCATGCCACCCAGTAAAGCACATGGAGTGGACGCACTTGGACCTCGCGACCTCCATCGACTACCACAACCAGCAGTCGAAGCCTATGCGGATATCCTCAACGCAGTAGAGCAGGCAGGCATTTGGCCACTACAAATCTCAGGCACTATTGCAGCCCTAGCAGCCAAGAAGTCTGGAGGCGACAGGGTCCTCGGCATGCTACCTCACATGGCCAGACTCTGGTCTCGCATCAGAACGACTGCATCTACTTCCTGGACCCAAGGACTGGACGACTTTTGGGCTACAGCCATCAAAGGCTCCTCAGCTCTCCAGGCCGCCCTGCACAGGGCCTTGTTAGACGAGACAGCCTCAGCACTTGGCATACAGTCAGCCACATTGCTATTGGACATCCAGAAGTTCTACGACAACATCAAGCTCGCCAACCTCATTATGGTCGGCCTCAACTGCGGCCCCCCCCCCATCGTTCTACTTCTGGAAGTACAGCTATACCTCGCGCCCAGATTCTTGCGCAGTCGACAATGGGTGAGTATGCCTATCTTCGCCTCCAAAGGCATCATCGCAGGCTCCCCGCATGGCACGACCTTGGCGCGACTCATATTACTTCCTATTTTACGGCAAGCCCAAGCTCAGGCCGAGCTAGCCCAGGTGTGGACCTTTGTAGACGACACCGTCCTTCGAGTCGAAGGAGTCCTACGCGCACTTCAGAAGCACCTCCCCCGTGCCGCCAAGACGCTCTGCGACGGTCTAAAGGAGTTCGAGCTGCCCATCTCTGACAAGACGGTCCTCATCGGCTCCACCCCCAAGGTCCGCAAATCGCTAGCCAAGACGTTGCGGCAGTACGACATCCCTGTCACAGCGATCGCCACGGCCGTCGACCTCGGAGTCGACGCGGCCGCGGCTACTCGACGGGTGCAAGCCAAAGCCAGGAAGCGACAGAGCTCAGCCGCAGCTAGGTTTCGCAAGATACACCGACTACGGAGCACTGCACAGCAGGCCCGAATCTCAGCAGGACTGTGGCGCACTGGCGCTCTCCCCGAAGGAGTCTTCGGTCATCAGGTGCACGGCCTTGCTCGACACGCTCTACCACGATGGCGCCGTCAGGCCGCCATCGCGGCCACGGGGGCAGCAGCGGGCCGATGCCTCACCTCCCTCCTCGGCGCCACCTTCGACGGCATGGACCCAGGAGTATCCCTAAGGATCGAATTCATCGAGGCTCGGCTCCAGCACTGGATACGCCACCCGAGCGCGCACGCCAGGATCATCAGAGCATGGCCAAGGATCAAGACCACCTTGCTAGCCGCAGGCCCCAAGCTGTGGTGCAGGGTCAAGGGACCCACTGGCGCGGCCATCGCGACACTGCTGGAGGCCAGCTGGGAGCCGACCTCAGCCACCACGTGGAGGCGCACAAAGGACGGCTACATCGAGGAGTGGAACCTCCCCCCTGCCCACGACCCTGACCTCCCCGACGCCGACATCCACGCAGTATTGCAGGACCTCAGCGAGGATTTGCACAGGCTCCTCTGGACTCAGGCCGCTACCCACGACCATGGCGACACGCTGGCTGGAGGAGCGGACATGGTCACTATCCGCATTGAACAAAGGAGGCTCCTCGCAAACGGTGGTTTCAGCGACTGGGCCCTCAACGACACCGTCATCAGTGGAGGACAATGGACCAGGGACCGCCTCCACAACTCGGGCTACCAGATCGACAAGAACTGCGACCGATGCAGCGCAGGAGTTCCTGAAACCCTGTTTCACCGCATGTGGCAGTGCGAGGCGAATGTGGGACCTGAGTTTGAGGCCAGTGACAAGCTACTACCGCGAGCCGTGGCGGGGGCCGATGCTGACCCTGCCCTGTGGTTCCGTGGCATTCCCTCCGTCGCTCTCACTACGCCCGCGTTCGAGCCATTGACTGGGAGGGACGGGTGGGAGTTTGTTGGTGCGGTGCGGGAATGGGTTGCCGTCGTGGGAAGGAGCTCGTAACGCTGAGGGCGAGTTGTTTCTTTTTGGCGACGGGTCTGGCGGCGCCTTTTCCGACGACGTCAGACGACGACGTGTTGGTTCTGGCCTCGCGGCCCTCCGATGGGACCCCCCTTCGGCCTCCTGGGCCCTCCACGCTGGCCCCCTCGCCCCCCTCCCAGGCCCCCGCCAGACTGTCCCAATAGGCGAATTGCATGCGTTATGCCTGGCTCTTGAGACGTGCCAGCAGGATTTCACGTTTGTTACTGATCACCTAGCCCTGCAGCGCGGCTGGCAGAATGGCAGATGTCTCCGACCTGGCAGCCTCAGAGGCAAGAATAAGAATGGGGATCTCTGGCTGAGAATTCGGCACCTCGTGCAGGATCGATCTGGCGGCTGCTCTTCGGTCTCGGTGCTCTGGGCCCCATCTCACGCCGATCCCCTCACTTTGAATGGTTTCCAAAAATTCATGGCTCTCGGCAACCAGCATGCCGATGAGCTCGCGGGAAGCGCGGCCCACAAGTCGGCCACCCTTGCCCTCCCGCCTGTCCCCAGGACCGATGAATATGACGCTATTGCAGCCATCGTCCGACAGAGGGCCCGACTGATCTTACGTTCCTTAGGCAAGAATTCAGAGCCTCGAGGACAGTGGCCAGAAAGGCAACCCACCCAGGAGCAGCCCCTCGCTCTCAGTTGCAGACCGCGATCGCGGCTTCTCAGCACAAATTCGAGCGGTGTGCAGACAAATGGAGATGCCCTGCCTGCCTCATCATCGTTGACGCGTGCCACGTTATTCCAGCTGCCGCCACTGAGTGTGTGCCGCCTTGCCCCCTTCCCGAGTTCGCTGCGTGTGGAGAGGTGCTGTGGTCGAGGGGTCCCCGCGTGATCAGTGGCAAGTTGATCCACCCCTCCCACATTTTGGCCACCATCCCCAAGTGGCAATTGTTCTTTTGTGTGAAGTGCGGCCATACGGCCACGCACCAGGTTAAAAGCCTTCTTTTGCCGTGCCCTCTCTCCCACCAAGTGGGAGAGCGCAGGGCCCTGGGACCCACTGGCAAAGGCCTCGAGAACCTCAGCAGGATCAGGCGAGGCCTCCACCCGTCCAGAGCGGGCCCCAGCAAGGCTGTGCTAGAGGCTTTGCACGTTTCGGCAGCCGAAGCCGCGATCGGTTCCTACGCGGCGGGTGCTGCCACCGAGTAAATTGCGAGGCCAGGGGGGCCTGTCGCGGTGGGCCGTGGGATGTCGCCCCCCACGGCCCTCCGAGAAATACTGGATGGCCCCCCTGGCATCCCTGGGTTCCGAACGGACTACGTCCGATTGCTCCACTCCACTCCACTCCTCCCTCCTCCCTCCTCCCTCCTCCTCCTCCTCCTCCTTCTCCTCCTCCTCCTCCTCCTCCTCCTCCTCCTCCTCCTCCTCCTCCCTCCTCCCCCTCCTCCTCCCGCCCTCTTCCTCCTCCTCCTCCTCCTCCCTCCTCCCTCCGCCCTCCTCCCTCCTCCCTCCTCCCTCCCCCGTTCGTGGACAGATGGGGTCGGAGCAGATGGGGTCGGGGGATCGCGCCGCACCGCCGATGCATCGGCGATGCATCGACGA